TACTTACAGATCTTGTGCCAGCCTCACCTCCAATGACCTCACCAGCTCCGGGATCAACCTGAAAATCAAGGTCAGATACCCAGTCTGGTGGAATTCCAAGGCAGGTCTGTCACTGGCTCCATGGTAGGTGTCCTCAGCTCCACTTAGGACTCAAGTCTTGCAAAGTACCAGCCCTTCATTTCCCCTTCACTTTACCTCTTCTATTTCTCTCAGTTTTCATTTCTACTCTTAAACCTATAGTTCTTTAAAATATTAAATTCTAAGATAATTTAATTTTAAGTTAAGATTTCATTAGTTTCCACATGTTCAGTTGAGTCACACGTAAGCACATTATCAATTGGTACAATCTTCACATCTGTCTAGTTCCAGCTTTCTGCTCAGTGTTGGACTCATCCATACCCCTGTTCTCTCCTGCTAGTCCCCACCCACCGCTGGCCTTTCTCTCACTGTGATTTACTACCCTGGGTTTTTTATATCAGTGCATCAGATTCTGTTAGGCCAAACATTCCTGGAGGAGACTGGATACTATTGCAGTTTGATAGAAGAGAAAACCACAGACAGACAAAATATACAGGGAAAATGTAGAGACCATTGTGTATGTACTCATCTTTTCATGTTGGAAAATGTTTTCCATGATTTCAGTGATACAAAGGGAGCTACAAAGGACTGATTCATTGCATTTGAAAAAGAGCAATAATGCAAAAATCACAACAGGAAACTTTTCTTTACAACCAATAGTCAGATAGATGGTTTTTATTGCAAGTGTGAAAGAGGATTCATGAGTTCATTTTGTGAGGGAAATGACAAATTCTTCTAAGTCAAAGGGAATTACCAGACATGGCTAACAAGCACACAAAACACTGAGCCTCCTAAACCTGATTCATGCAGGCACACATCCCTGAAATGTGCTGTTTCCCCATCCACTGACATATTTTAAGGCAGGTGCTGAAAAACAATGGGACGGACATGGGGGGCAGAGTATAGCCCTATCTTGCAGCTCCCATCAGAGCTTTAAACAGCCTTCCCCAGAACTCCTAGTACTAAGAATAGAGTTTTCTCGCACACAGAATGCTGCACAAATTTTCAAGAGTTTGATTCACAGTACTCTATGAAGCAGGAAGGAACTGGGACCCTCCCTAGACTCAACGTACAGTATGCACAGGAGAGTTGTCTGGACGATTCTGTTCACTGCAACTGGGGGGAACCTTGCCATGGCCCTAGGGCCACAGATCTGCAGGGCTAAGGATGACAAACTCATGGCATCACAAGGTTTTCCCTGGGCCAGCCAGTGCACTGGGCATCTCCACTGCAATCCAGTGACTCCCAAAGCCAGGGACAGCACTGGGAAAGGGCATTTGGAAGCCTGGGTGGCCAGTCAGGTGAGGGGCAGCCCTGTCTGGCACAGCTGTGTAAAGTATATCCCTCTGGAGCTAAACCTCCAGCAGATCCCACTCATTGCCTTCATCAGGTCTGATACCAAGGATGTCACACAGAAGCACAGCAGCATACTTGAAGTTTACTCAAGCTAAATCATTTAGCTTCCTTTCAAGAAATGACTGAAAATGCACCTCTGGAAAATCAAGGGTGAGAACATTGCTATGCATTTTGAATAAATAAACTGATCCTTAACAAGACATGGTGGCAATGCCCGTGAGTGGGACTGCTAGGGCAGAGATGTGGACTCTCATGAATACAGGTTTTGTAACTGCAATAGAAAAATTTCAAATAAATGATGCATGCACATGATGTTCTGTTTGTATTACACTGAAGTAAGGGGAATTGAGGCAGCAACCTAGATTTACTGAGCTGCCTCAGTAAAACCAGGGCACAATCTACCACATGATTCTATCACCCAAATGTGAAAGCTCAGCAACTTGGTTCCTGCTGGTTGCTGCTGTTGGTTGACAATTTTGAGTTGTTTCTATCTGTGCCAGCCATCTCTGCCTCTCTTAGCTTCTATCCCCAGGGTGTAGATCAGGCTGTGTTTACAAAAAGTTCCATCATGATTTCAGGACCAGTGGCAGCCTCTCATGTACTGGAAATAATTCTTCAAGTTTGGCCATAAGAAACCTGATACAATGTGCTTGAGAGGAAATGAATTATCTGATATAAATGCAGGAAACTCATTTTGTCTGTGCCAGACTCAGCTGCTCCAGAAGCCCATATTTTTGAGGTAAAAAGATGTGAGTCCGAGTGTTGGAAGGCACAGTAACATCCCCAAGTTCACTTTCTGCTTTGCTTCACTCATTCTACTAAGCTGCAGAATGGATTCTGAGTGTTCAAACACATAGGGTGTGAATTGCAGTAGAAGTCTGTAAAAACTTCAGTTAACTAGGGTGTAAAAAGACAAGAAATGTTTTTTGGCAAAATACACCTCTAAATATGTATTTGAAGCATCAAAGAAACCAAGAAGACAAAGATGAAGAAGAAGAAGAAGGAGGAGGAGGAGGAGGAGGAGGAGGAGGAGAAAGAAAGAAAGAAAGAAAGAAAGAAAGAAAAGTAAGAAAACCAAAAAGTAATGCCAATGTGTGGTGTTTTGTCTCCAATGCCTCTGCCTCATTTAGAAAGAAAAGGGTCAAAATTTGCAGAAATGGAAGGGTCACTGTGGAAAATGGACTTTGCCCCAAGGCACTGATTCTGTGTCTGGCCCACTATGAATGTCCAATCCATTGCAGAGCCTGGACCCTGTTGGAGGCTGAGGCCAGGACCCATGAGTTGAGGCCCCTGGGGCTGAGGTGGCAGAGTATTTTCTGCATCCTCATGGCTCTGCCTTATTGGGCCTGCAGGGCTGCAGCATGGATGCGGTGGTGGAAAAGGGTGTAAGGCAGGAGTTGCTGGGCTCCTCTGCATGCTGCACACTCCCTGCTTGGCCTAAGCACAGGAAGATTCAAGTCCTCCTTGCTGGAAAAAGAAACTCTGAAGAAGATTCTGGGTGTCCTCTACCAGACACAGACAAACACAGTGACTTCTCAGGTAGGGAGGGCAGGACAACCACCACAAAGGGATTCACATGGCTTCACGTGTTGGGGGTTTAAAAGTTAGTTGTGAATGATGTGTTGCCTTTCTGAATAAAAAGACTTCTTATTTTATATATCTATAAAGTGAAGCTTGAATGTTCTTCTATATGCATATCCTAATTAAATATAAAAGAATATTAAGTCATCCATTTCCACTCACCTATTCAAGAAAATACCAACTATTTATTCTTAAGTGAATTGAACAGAAGAGAAGTAATACTGAATGGAACACTATTAATAATTCAGTGGAAAATAAAATGGAAAAACCAGAAAGGCATCCCTCCCAGGATGAGAGGTCTGCAATTGACCAGCTCCTCTCTCCTGTCCTCACCTGCTCTGCAGGCCTGTGTCTCTTCACTTGCTGGGTGGAGAGAGAGAGCCAGGACACAAGCCCTCTTCCATCTCAGGAAAGATCAGGGACATGGCTTAGGACATGGCCGTCTTTCAGCATTTTCAGTGGCTTTAATTTATAATTAACTCAGCCGTTGTGCTGTGGAACATTCGGGGTTTCTAACAGTCCACACCTTAACTGGTTAAGAAGAGAATATGTTGTCTGTCAATCTCATTTTATATAATGACTTTTAGAAGTGGAATTTCCAGGTTAAATGTGTATAAGGTGAACTTGAGGGTCACATATTTTTCACCTGAAGCCTGAGCATAGAGTTAGAGCCTGGTAGAGGAACACTGAATCTGCTCAGATCTATGTGGAGATCTAAAGTCAGAGAGATGGTCCAGGCATAGGTGCAGGACACAAAGGCACCTAGCAGGAACCATAGCTAAAAAAGGCCCAGGTGCAGGCCACCTCATCCTTGAGTAAATTCTCAGGAAAGCATCATACACTGCACGCTGGACAGGAGAGAGCTTGAATGGTTCCAGAGCTGCTCCCTACATGCCTGAGGCCCCCTCTGTCACTCAGGGGAGCTCTGAATGAGAAGGTCAGTCTGTTACAGAGCCCAACTTGACTGAATGTTTTCCACCCAGGTAAAGATCTGAACTGCCACATGTGGACTCACCATAGCTATGGAGCAGGACAGGTGTTTACAGGGAGCAGGTCAGGAGATGGGGACACTGCAGGCAGGTCAGGGTATGAAGCCTTAAATAAGAGACCAGGCCCTCAGCATGCCCAGTTTCCTCCAGCAGTAACCATACCCCACAAGAATGTGCATTAAATCTGAGCAACTGAAAGGAGTTACTAACAAAATTCTATATTATAGAGATAGTTTGAAGATACAAAATTAAATGGTAGCATCTGTAAGTAAAATGAGATGTTACCCTTAATGGATATGTGGTGTCCATTGATGTCCCCGAACCACATGTATCAGAAGGAAATAGTATGGTGAACAGAGCAATAAGGAGCACAGGCAATGGGTAAACATCACAGCTCCTTAATAACAACAACAAAGGTGGGATACAATTAGTGCACTGGTGACTTTTATCCAGTTTGTAACAAAGAATAAATACTGATTGTTTTTAAATTCTTCAATCATGCTGAAGGAAAAACCACCACTAACTTCTTTTAAGTGACAAAGTAATCCTGAGAATAAAGCCAGACAATAATGTGTTAAAAATATTATAAATGAAAACACTCTGTTGGCTAATATTCCTGCCAAACATACACAAAAGTGTTCAGCTAAATGTTTGCCACGTTAACTCACCAGAATATTCAAAATTAACCAACATGATCAACACTGGGCTCAATCTCAGTTGTTCAAGAATGGTCCCTCTCGCACAAACTATCTGTTTTCCATTGGTTTTAACATGTTGTATCTTACTATATTTTACTATATGTGATAGTATAAAAATTTTTTTATAGGCAAAGAGATAATATAGAAACTGTTTTTCACTTTCTGTTAACTTGTTCTAAATACCCTGTAATTCTTTCATTCTCTGGAATGGATTCACACTGTCTTGATATGCTTGATGGTATAATATCCGAAGTTATACTCAAATAATTCAAGGAATGAGGCACTTTGGTTACTGCTATTATGTTAGATTATCTGGGAGTGAAACACAATGATGCTTAAATTGTTCCATTCTGAATAGTGTAGTTTTATTACAATGTCCACTTTTATCTCAATCTTCACCATTTTTTAAAAATTAAACTACTTTTTCTTATTTTTTTCAATTAAGGGAAAACTAAATTAAAAAATAGCAGGATACAGTATAGTAACTTTTTTGCTTTCCTATTAACCTGATTTGAATCCCAGTATGGCTCTCCCCATCTTGTTCTGTGTGATTTTACTATATTCTATTTTGTTTGATAGTATCAAGTTTGAGGGTATAGGCAACCACTTTGAAGGCAATAAGATTTACTATGATGCCCATTATGGTTTAACTATTATCTTCTTTTGAAATCTTGTAAGGTCTCCAGTGTAGGTTTTATTGGTCTTGTTCTGTACTGTTTTGATCAATTCTATTATACCTGATGATATAGGCAACTCTTTTTAAAAATAGCAAGAGGCACAATGGTAACCATTTTTGATCACCTGATATTCTATTTTTGCATCATGTACTATGCCCATTATTCTGTTCTAACTGACTCTGTTTTGTTTAGTCATGTTAGGATTTATTCTCTTCAAAAAATGTAATAAGAACAGTGGGAATAAAAAAAACCCAAAAAGTGTAATTGTTATTGTAAAAAAGAGAGGAAAGGAAGGTGGTCTAATGGATGTAACTGTATGCTTCAGTGTGTAGAATGGAAAACCATATTACTGAGCTTTTGTTGGATCATTGAATGGAACTTTCTGCAATCTCACTGTATGAATGTCTACTTTATATGTTTTAATTTTATAATTTGGACAACTGTTTCTAAGATGACAATATGTAACCTATTAACTAGTGATTTCTTATTGAATTTTTTCTTGAAATTCTGTATTACTTGTACCCTTTTACTGCTTTGTTTTTTATTTCCTTTTTTCTATTTAATTAAAAAAATAATCAAATCTGGAATGGATATCATTTATTTATTTATTTATTTATTTATTTATTTTGGCTCTGGAAATCAAACTCATGACCTCACACTTGCCTGGCAGGTGCTTAAGCCATTGAGCTAAATCCCCAGTCCACCAATAGATATCATTTACATCTTGTCATCTTTAGAGTAGTTGCCTCTTCTCTTGAACTTGATACCAGCAAGCATACCAAATGTGAATAAAATCAGTCAAGGCCAAATATCATTCAAACAAACTAGCTTCAAAGAAGATCATTAGTATAAGACAATGTACGTAATATAGCGTTTCAGCTTTAGTTAATAGGAAATTAAGGATAGTTACCATGGTATAACCTGTTATTTTGGGATTATCTCTCTGTGCCCTCAACTCTAATAAGTAGACAGACCACAGCAAAATATAACCAAACTAAACAGAGCAACAAGACTACTGTAGCTTTTAAATCCTGATACAATTTTAACAATGTCCTCTGTCTTTTTTAAGGAAATTCCTCACCTTTCTCCTTCTCAGGATACTATTATTGACTGTTCAGAGTGATATTAGGCTAGTCTCTTATGTTCAGTTTCAGCATACATAAAGATAAAGACAGCTACTACGAAGAGAATGAGAGACATTATGGTAGTCATTGAATTCACCAAAATCAGCCTTGAAGACTGAAAAATCCTGCACCATCCTGTAATTATTTGATTAGTTCTATAATGTTTGGTATATATTCAATGTGTGTGAAGATGGGAACAACTATTTGGAAGAAAACTAGAGACAGTAAGATAAACAGTGAACATCTCCAGTGGACTTGCTTTGAAATCTGTGTTTCCTTATGAACTGTTCTGTTCTGTTTTGTCATGTTTAATCTTACCCTCTTTAAGAAAAAAAAAGTGTGCAGGACAGATAAGCATACTAATAACTTTTTGTTGGATCATTGAGGTGAACTGTTGACAGTGTCATTATTTGAATATCTCTTTGTAGGCTTCAATTTTGTAAGTTGAACAACTACTTCTAAGGTGACAATATGAAACTAATCAACTAGTGATTTCTTATTGTTTATTTTTCTGAAATTCTGTATTATTTCTACACTTTCTTTTTTTCTCTTTAAATAAACATTACAATTCACCAAAAAATATAAAATTTAAGTTTTAAAGACAAAATATTATGTACATAGACACTATGCATACTTGAAAATTGTGAAAATTCCATTTCAGTTTAGCATGTTTAATTACAAGATGCCATGTTGAAGCACAAAGACACTTTAAAAAATCTAGAGAGGTACAAGTGATTAACTGAAAACCATAAAACATGTGCACTTGAGTAGAGCTCCACCTCATATTTGTCATTTCTGGAATATTTGTGAAGAAATATTGACATCTATCTTCTGTATTGATTATTTCTTCAGGTCTCCTTGGGACTTTTAAAGTAAACTTAGATGTAAAATGTCTGAACAGTGATGCTTTTTCTATTTAACAAGAAATATGGATTGCCATATTTCTCACATTGTTAATCCACATTGGATCTGTGACCAGTGAGCTCTTTCAGATATGTAACAATGATCATGTATGCTGAGAGTATTCCCATAACATATAGGATTTATCTCTTGTGTGACTTTCTTCATGTATTTCACTTACAATCTAGCTGCTGAAAGTGTCTCCACTTGCTTACATAGCCAGTGGTTCTTCCCAGTGTGAATTCTTTCATGTATTTTGCAAAGACTGTATGTGGTAAAAGTTTTGCCACATTTTTATATACATAGGGTTTCTCACCAGTGTGGAGTCATTGATGTATTTTACAAAATCCATGTGTGGTGAAAGCTTTCCCACATTCTTCACATACACAGAGTTTCTCAACAGTGTAAATTTTTTCATGTATTTGACAATGAGCATTTCTGTTAAAACCTTTCCCACATTCCTTACATATACAGCTTTTCTAACCAGTGTGAAGATTTTCATGCATTACACAATATGTAGTGTGCTCAAACCATTCTCATGATGCTTATATACACTGGTTTTATCTTGAGTGTGAACTTTCATGTTGCTTACAATGTCTATGTAGGGTAAAATCTTTTCCACCTTGCTTACATACATATGGTTTCTCTCCAGTGTGAATTCTTTCATGTTTCTTACAATCTCTCTGTGTTTTAAAAGCTTTCCCACATTGCTTACATACATAGGGTTTCTCTCCAGTGTGAGTTCTTTCATGAACCTTAAAACATCCACGTGTGTTAAAGGCTTTCCCACATTGCTTACATACATATGGTTTCTCGCCAGTGTGAATTCTTTCATGTACCTTACAATCTCCCTGTGTTTTAAAAGCTTTCCCACATTGCTTACATACATAGGGTTTCTCTCCAGTGTGAGTTCTTTCATGAACCTTAAAACATCCACGTGTGTTAAAGGCTTTCCCACATTGCTTACATACATATGGTTTCTCGCCAGTGTGAATTCTTTCATGTATCTTACAATATCCCTGTGTTTTAAAAGCTTTCCCACATTGCTTACATACATATGGTTTCTCTCCAGTGTGAGTTCTTTCATGAACCTTAAAACATCCACATGTTTTAAAAGCTTTCCCACATTGCTTACATACATAGGGCGTCTCCAGTGTGAATTCTTTCATGAACCTTACAATGTGCACGTGTGTTAAAACCTTTCCCACATTGCTTGCATACATATGGTTTCTCTCCAGTGTGAATTCTTTCATGAACCTTACAATTTGCATGTGTGCTAAAACCTTTCCCACATTGCTTGCATACATAGGGCTTGTCTCCAGTGTGAATTCTTTCATGAATCTTACAATGTGCACGTGTGTTAAAACCTTTCCCACATTGCTTGCATACATATGGTTTCTCTCCAGTGTGAATTCTTTCATGTTGCTTACAATGTCCAGGTCTGGTGAATCCTTTTCCACATTGCTGACATACATAGGGTTTCTCTCCAGTGTGAATTCTTTCATGAACCTTGCAATATGCACGTGTATTAAAAGCTTTCCCACATTGCTTACATACATATGGTTTCTCTCCAGTGTGAATTCTTTCATGTTCTTTACAACGTCCACGTCTGGTGAAACATTTCCCACATTCCTTACATACATAGGGTTTCTCTTCAGTGTGAAATCTTTCATGTTGCTTACAATTTCCAGGTTGGATGAAACCTTTTCCACATTGCTTACACACATAGGGTTTCTCTCCAGTGTGAACATTTTCATGTATTTTAAAATGAATTTTACTGCTAAAAGCTTTCCCACATTTCTTACATATATGCGATTTCTGCCCAGTGTGAAGGTTTTCATGGATTACACAATAAGTACCTGTGCTGAAAGCTTTCCCACAGTGCTTACATTTATAACGTTTTCCTCTGGAGTGAAGACTTTCATGTACTTCACAATATGTACGTGTTGTAAAAGCTTTCCCACACTGATTACATATGTAGGGTCTTTCTCCTCTGTGAATTCTTTCATGTTTCTTACAAATTCCATGTGTAGTAAAACCTTTCCCACATTGCTTGCATACATAGGGTTTCCTTCCACTGCAATATTTTTCATGTATCTGAACACTGTGTTGTGTTTCTGTTTCTTTCACATTCACATTACCTTCTATAGTACCAAGGAATACTTCTTTACACTGATTCCAAGATGTATGTCCATAGGATTTCCCTAGCTTGTCATTTCTGTAAAGAAATAAATCACGTATAGGAGTTATAACCATATTACTAAGTTTTTGTTGGAAAGTTGAACAACATTGTTTGCAGTCTCAAAGTTTGAATCCCCACTTCATATGTTTCACTTTTGTATCTTGATTAACTATTTTTATGATCAGCATAAAATCATCACCTTGTGATTTCTTACTGTTTATTTTCACTTTGAAAGTAGTATTATTTCTACTTATTTTGTTTTGTTTAATCTTTCCTTATATTAAATTTAAAAAAGAAAAATTCACAGTGAAATGGGTCTCCGTTTAATGACTGCATTAATGTCAAGTTCTGCTTTTAATGCCCGCTAAGAAATTCTGACCATGAAGCTACAGAATGGCCTTGTAAGATATGTTGAAAACAACCATTCCCAAAAGACTGGTACACATTTGGAAATCTTAAAAGTTGGTACTTTAAAATGCAGAATCTTTAGGTTCACTTTGGGCATGGGTACATATGTGTATCACATACAGATCATTCTGATATGTTTCTCCATCACAATCTCCCTTCTGTCCTTTACATGTAGTTCCCTTTTCCATATGGTCAGTCTTACTTTTCTCTATCAACTCTCTTTCATTTCATTCCACAATCTATATTTTGCTTTCTCATCTAAAAGAAACCCTGTGACCTTTCAGGTTTTATAGCTGAGCTATTTTACTGAATTGATGGGTGAAAGACCCATCTATTTTTTATCGCAAATGACATTATATTATTTACTTTTTGACATTATATAACACATTTTTTTCTTTTCAATGCTGGGAAGGAACAACAGGTATTACCATAAAATCTATAGCTTTATTAAAATCTATTTTAAGAGATATTTCACTGATCATTAAGCTGTGAAGTTTGAACTTGAATTTGCCATTCTGCAAAATCTGACACCTAGTGTGCTGGGTTTACAAGAATGCACAATCACAGAGAGTCTATTAACATTTTCCTTCTCCACAAATCCAGTGATAGATAGCTAAGCTTCTTCAAGGCTTGATCTATTATAACTTGATGTGCTTTGTATATGAGCAAGCATGTATCAGTATTTTATGTGGATTTTGAATTTTTAAAAATATATCCAGGAGAAGTATGAGGGGATCAATTTCTAGAGACAACTGCACAATGATATTCAGAATGAGTGCACTTAACATTCCACCAGCCTTCTAAGAATTTTAGTCAGAATGGTTGATTCTTTAGAGCATGGCTTGGAAACACAAGCACTCTGTTTTATTTCAAATTCTAGTGCAATCTTACTAATTTTTAGATAATGAATGTGTTGTATTCACATGCATATATGGGTAGAAAAACTGATGGGAGAATGTCATAACTCAAAGTGTATGCCTTTCGTACACATCTATATGCAATGACATACATTTTCATGATTTAATCCACTCATTATACATACCCTAGCTTATACATCTTTGGAGAATATGACTGGCAATAAATTGAATGGTGCCTCATTTCTTTGGCTGTCATTTTTCTGCTGACTCACTAATTACTCAGGAATATTACTTCTCCTTATGAGCGTGAATTACCTTAAGTATCTCCAGTAAATTTTGCATTCTTTTTCAGCTTCCTGGATATCCCCAAGTCCTCCTGAATTGTAGACATACAAATACCAGCACTCATTAGAATAATATACACAAATTAATAGATTTTGTTTAGAGTTATGATTTAATGTGTCCAGGTCTGAGCTATTTTTAAAAATATTTTCACATTGTTTTTAATGAAACAGCACTGATGAGCGACATACAATATTCTGACAGCATGAATGACAAAAGTATTTTGTCCTTACCTACTGCAGTCATGTTTCTAAAGGTTTCGCCCATCACATCTCTGTAGAGGTTCTTTTGGGATGGACTCAGCAAAGTCCACTCCTCATTGCTGAAGTTCACAACCACATCCTCCAAGGTCACCACCTCCTAAAGCATCATACATATATTTCTCACACAAAGGTTGAGACACCAGGTTTGGGAAATCTTAAATTCTCTCCTACAAATCTGAATCAAAAGCAAAGTGTGGTGGTATATACCTATAATTCCAGCACTCAAAATGCTGAGGCAGGATGGTTTCTGTGAGTTCAGGGCAATTCTAGGCTCCACAGGGTGTTCAAATCCAGCTGATATACATACAGAAACATGTCTCAATAAACAAAACAAAACTAAACAAATACAACCAAACAAAACAGCTGAATGAAGACTGATTTCTTGAAATTTAAATCCATGTCTTGGTCATTAATTTTGTGTATATGCACATTTTTGAAGACAGCAAATTTGATGATAGATTGCAACTCACTGCTAATGTAAGAGTGAAATAGGAGCACTGATTCTTGTGCTGAGACACTGCAATATTCCCGGTGTACTGTCTCTAAAGCAGAGCTCACAGTGAGAAGCCTGTTAGACCAGCATCCACAAAGCACAGAAGCAGATAAATATCCCATCAATCAAATGGGAAGCCAAATAATTACCTCCCTTCCCTGGTAAGTGGTGATGATGTGCCAGACTGTGGCCTATCCAGGGGGAAACCAGCAGCAGCTCCTGAGATCCATGCCATGCTGGAATTTAGGACACTTGGAAGGCAAGCAAGCATCACTTCTCCATGGTAAGCGGTGGTGGTCTCGCAGAATGCGGCCCTTCCAGGGGGAGAACCAGCAGCAGCTCCTGACATCCACGCCATGTGGGAACTTAGGACACTGTGAAACCAAACTACCGGCCTGTCTCCCTACTAAGCAGTAGTGAACCTACTGATGTACGGCCTAGAATCAAACATCCCACTTCCCTACCCTTTTTCTCCTGTCACCCCCCCCCCCGTTAGCAAATGAAAACCAGAAATCTGAGAGTCTCCTGGGAAGCAGACCATAACAAATAAGGAGGCCTTCCTATTACTATCTCTTTGGAGGCAAATATTTTTAATACTGTTTTGCTCTATTCTGATTAATGGTATTGCTCTATTCAATATTCTGTTTTGATAAGTACGATAATGTTCTGTATTTCATCTCATTTTGATATACGTGTTTGAAAGAACAACTATTGCGGCGGGGGATTTAGCTCAGCGGCATAAGCACCTGCCTTGCAAGCAGACAGTTGTGGGTTCGATCCCTGGTACCGATAAAAAGGAAAAACACACAAAAAAATTATAAAGGTAATAAAATATACTGTGATATGTATTACTGTTATCGCTGTAACCAGTTGTGAAGTTGTGTACCATTTTCACTGTATGATCTTAGTTGGCCTTATTCTGACTTGTTCTGTTGTATTTTACCACATCCAAAATTTAAAAAAAGAAAAAAAATCTCATCAATCACTTTGATAGGCTACAGATAATGTCTCTTCAAATCTCATTTAGGCCAGTGAATACTTTGTTCTTAATATACTTCAGCAGCATTTTGAAACATGAATTTGGTTTCATAGAACAAAACATAAATAACATCCAATATGGTACACAAATAATAACTCAAATGTTAGTGGAAAATGCTGTTTTTAAAAAATAAGTATATAAAATGGAATGAGGCCCAAGCTGTAATTTATAGCTCACTGGCACCAAGCATTCACTTTCAATTCACATATAAGAAATATGTCCTGTGAGGCTGGTGAAGGACTTCTTCCTTGAATTTGGGGCTATCCTAAGTTACAGAGCTGTCTAACATAGAGAAACCCTGACTGTGACACCCCACAGACAAAGTGAAACTTGAAAAGAGACTGCATAAGACACCTTTGGTTTGTTTTTAAAAATTATAGCCATACAATATGGAAAAATTCCAACAGTATTCACACTTTCTGAGAAACAATGTGGATATCTGCCATACAACAAAGAAAACACTTGCATAGTTGGGTATTTAGCTCAGTGGCATGAACGCCTGCCTGGAAAGCATAGGTCATGCGTTTGATCCTTGGTACAAAAAAAGATCCACATTTTACCTTCATGACACTGGGGCATAATTAGAGATAATCCAAGTTAGATCTCAAGTATGGAACAGAAAATTCATGGGTTGACAAGGATGTGAAATACTGATTGTTGCCAGAGCTGGTGTTGATCACCTCAAGGAAGCAATCAAAACCCAACTTTAACTTCACACTTATCTAAGAACTACCTGAATTTCAGTGAAGACCCTCTCTGTTGTATGTCCTGCTATTGGCTTCCTGCATTCTGTCAGTCACTTGTACATCCTTTCCACGCTCCTCTGATCCATCCTCTGCAGGAAACCCTTAATGCCTAACTATTGATATCACTGCAAAATTTCTGTTTAGAGCTTCTCCTTTACACCACTTAGTAAATTCCATTGCAGAGCATTTCCATATTTAAACTGTCTATGAACAACCAAGCCACTAAATCAGCTCTTAATTCAGAGATGACACACCTATTCCTTTCCACTCAGAAGGATATCATGTGTATATGTCCATGCAAATGTCTAAATTTCAGCATTTTTTGATGAGAATTTAACTGGTAGCCCTTTCTGGAATTTGTCCTTCACAAATTTTTACCCTGTCCTTGATAACACTTTCATATTTGCTTCATTTTTCTCAGACTTCAAAACCCTATGGCTGTGCTCACAAACCTAGTCTGTGAGCAGGCGTGCCACATA